ACATAGTCCAGTTTTTAGTAAAAAAAAATTAGTCCTTCATTGTAAAGAGCTTTATGACAAAAAGAAGAAAAGGTAACCACTGATGAATGCAAGCCTGCGCATGTGGAATCAGCTTTTTGGAGCTTCTCTCTCCACAGCACCTGCCTCCTGCCCCACTGTGTCCCGTCCGCCTCGGCTGGTCCTGCACCCTTGCGCCTCCAGGTCCACGCTCGGCCAGGACTCCTCTCTCCATGAGGTCCTGGTTTCTACATTAGGTTATAAATGCACCTCTGAGGCCTGGGAGCACAACACAGGCCTTGGGCACAGGGTCCTCCCCAGGGTGGGGCGCTGGCGGGGACTCGGCACGTGCCCCTGGGCTCCGGAGCACCACGCTGAGCCTGGGCCCAGTGGGGCTGCATCGCTCACAGCCTGCAGGGCAGCTGCGTCTCGCAGCTGTGCAGCCGGCTCTTTGCTGCTGCAGGGGAAGACAGCGCTTGTCGGGGGCCAGGCAAAGCGTTGGCCTGACCTGGTGACTGCCACCGATGGTGGGTTTGCCCCCATGTGAAGGCCGCGTGTCCCAGACTCTGCTGGGGCCTGCAGCAGGTGAGACCCTCCGAGGAGGCCTGGCCTGGCAGGGCATCTAAGCCCCCCAGCCAGGGTTCTGGGGAGGAGGGCCGTCCAGCAGCTGCTGCCATGTGGCCTCGACTCCAGCGCAAGGCGTGGACTGTGTTGCGTGGAGGAGGACAGACAGAGGGAAGGGCTCCTGGCAGCTCCCGCAGAAGCTTCAGCTCGGGAGTCTCAGCTGCACCAAATGTAGGGGAGCAAGAGCCTTCCCTTAAGCGAGTGGCCACCGGCCAAGGGCCGTCATGGCTCAAAACAGCTCCTGAGCCACCCTGCGGCCGATGTCACGGGCAGAGCTGACACTCAGTGGGCATCCAGCACCAGAGACACAGGGCTCAGTAGGGGAGAGATACGGGGTCTTGGATCTGTGGGCCGGGAGAGAAAGGTACTCCAGCCAGCCTGTTTACTGGGCCTGCCCTTAAGCAGACTTGCAAAGTTTGCAAGATGGAAGGCGGAAGTGTCCCGGGTACCACTTTCTGAAAGGGCGAGTTTGCCCAGGTAAAACACCCCATCGCTCCGGATGGCATGAGATTACACTCCTGATAGGAACTGAGAGCTCTCGGTGTGGACTCTGGACGTCCACCTTTGTGAACCTCAAGTCTCCTCTACCCTCCTCTTAAATGCCGTCGAACCCCTGCTGTGGTCCCTGGTCTGTTATCTTGATTTGCATTCACCTCAGAATACTTTCTGATTTCCCTTTTGATTTCTTCTTTGACCCAGGGGCTATTAAGAAGTTAATTTCCACATTGGTAAGTTTCCCAATTTTTCGCTTTCATGGGTTTCTGACTTCATTCCATTGCGGGTTGGCGAACCACTTGGTACGATTTCTGTCTTTCTGTTGCAGGACCCGGCATGGACTCCATGTGCCCCTGGGAGGAGTGGGTGCTCCGATGCGGGGGATGGGCAGGCCCCAGAGTCTGTAAGGTCAGTCGCTGAGAGTGGCCTTTAAATCTTCTTTCCTTGTTGACCTTCTGTCTAGCTGTTCTAGCCAGTATTCAAAATGGCTATTTGAAGTCTACAACTATTATTGTCAAATTGTTAATTTCTCCGTTCATTTCTGTCAGTTTTTGCACATTCTGATTCTTTCGGACTTTAATCTTGCAAAGCGATATAATGTTTGTCCTCTAACGTCCCCTGGAATATGATAATGGAAGAGGAGTGTATATTCAAATTTAGGGCATTTTACTGTTGCCATTTTTTTTTTTTTTTTGCGGTACACAGGCCTCTCACTGTTGTGGCCTCTCCTGTTGCGGAGCACAGGCTCCGGACGCGCAGGCCCAGCGGCCATGGCTCACGGGCCCAGCCGCTCCGCGGCATGTGGGATCTTCCCGGACCGGGGCACGAACCCGTGTCCCCTGCATCGGCAGGCGGACTCTCAACCACTGCGCCACCAGGGAAGCCCGTACTGTTGCCATTTGATTAATGAATGTTATGGACTGTGTCTCCTCCGCCCACATTCATATGCTGAATCCTAACCCCCAATATGATGGTGTTGGGAGGTGGGGCTTTTGGGAGGTGATGAGGTCATAAGGTGGAGCCCTCATGAATGGGATGAGGGTCCTTATAAAAGAGACCCCAAGAGCTCCCTCATCCCATCCCCCAAGTGAGGACACAGAGGGAAGACACTAGCTATGAACCAGGAAGTGAGTTCTCACCTGACACCAAATCTGCCAGGCCTTGATCTGGAACTTCCAGCCTCCAGACTGGGAAATAAATTTCTGCTGTTTATAAGCCACCCAGTCTGTGACATTCTGTCAAAGCAGCCTGAACTAAGACAATAAAGCTTCTTTTTCTGAAAGAAATTGATCATTAAAATTATTATACACATAGAAAGTATATTAAACATATATCAACATTTTAAAGAATAATACAAAGCAAACACCCCTGGGAAGACCATGCAGGTCGAGAAACAATGCTGCCAGTAACTTTGAATCTTCCCTCCAAGGTCTTCTCCCATTAGTAACTACTATCCCCCCTTTTGTGACAAAATTTTCTGTATATTTCTTTATAGTTTTATTCATTGGAATTTTCTTGGTGTTTTATTATTGGAGAATCTAAAGGGGATCACTTAATCACATTGCATGAGCTCTAGTAAATTGTACCAGACAGTGTGTCGGGCATGATTTGGGACGGTAACAGGAAGGAGTGAATTTCCAGCCTTGGGTGTACAGTGGCCTTGGTGTTAATTTAATGAATATTCTCTTGGGACCCACTCCAGAGTCTCCGGAGGCAACAGTTACATGGCTCACCAGCAGCCCCAGGATGATCTCAAAGGAGAGGTGGTGTATCCTCTGGGGACATCAAGGAACAGACCCATCAAATGTAAGCCTGCTGCCCTGCAACTCAGCCACGACGCCTCAGGGTGTCTTTCCTGCAGAAAGAGCTCATTCCTGTGTGTGAGAATGTGCTTGCAGCAGAATTTGTAATATCGACAAAATGGTGTTAACCTAAGTGCCAAACAACAGGGGAATGGTGAGATAATAAATGACGGCCCATCCTTCAGGAGGGACATAGCCCTGTAGACACCTTGATTTTAGCCCAGTGAGACTTCTGACCTGCAGAGCTGTAAGATAGTAAATTTGTGTTGTTTAAGCCACTAAGATTGTGGTGATGCGTTACAGCAATGGTAGGAAACTAAGACAGATAGATAGATATGTTCTTAGCCAATTTAGAAAATTTGAAAATTACCCAGCAGATGGAGGCAGCGCACCTTAATTACCAGCAAAGCTGATATTGGAGAGCTAGTTAAACGGGCTTTCCGGCTCCTCACTCCTGGCCTGGACCTTGGAAGAGTTTATTTGGGGCAAAATCTGAGACCTCAGAGTAGAGTCACTTACTGAGGGCACATACTGGATATTACCAATATTTTAAATCTTTGCTCATCTGACAGGTTTAAAAAAGTGATGATTTGTAAAATCTTTAAAATTTAAAAATTGATAAAATTTGTATATTTTTGATGAATCCAGGATTTCTTGACATATCAGAGTAGCTTATGTGTTAACTGGAAAACTGCACTAATCACTGGCTTTCAAAGTTTTTTGATCCTGACGACTGTGATCTAATTCTTATATATATATATATATATAGTATGTGTGTATGTGTGTGTGTGTGTGTGTGTGTGTGTGTGTACATGCAGGATTTTTCAAACTGAGGTTGAAACCCATTAGTGGGTTGTGAAATGTACTTAGTGGTTTGCAGCTGGTATTAAAAAAAAAGACAAGAGTAAAAAAAATAGTGCATCCCACATAGTAATGAAAAACATTAGTTTTTAAGATTTTGATTTCAGTCGTGTGTATATGAAATATAAGTATGCATACGATATATATTTACGGATATGTGTACGCGATATATATTTCTCTGTGTATATGTGATATAGATGTATGTATATATATGTGTGTATATGCTATATATTTGTGTATATATTGATGTGCATGTGACAGTTATGTTAACTGTATGTATGCATACATGGTATACTTTTATACATGTGCATGTATGTGATATACATTTGTATCTATGTGTGTATGACATATACGTGTATATATTGAAATATGTTTGTATGAAGTTCACACATAACTGGGTCACAACGTTAAATGATGCACTCTCTACGGGCATTAAGTAATAAAGCTGATATTTTTCCCCTCAGATCAGTCAAGTTTGGTATCATCGAAAGCGTGGAGCCTGCTTCCCAGAAAAGTGCACAAACAACATCCTAGTCGCACTCTGGCCGATCCCTGCAGCCGCCCTCGGCGCACTGTGGGGACGGGATTCATCCGCACCACTCGGGACGCGCGCCCCCGCCTGCCCCCCCGCGCCCCCCGTCCCCGGGCACCAGCACCCCCGCGGCCCCTGCGGCCCCCCCCTCCCCGGGCACCTGCGCCCCACCTACGCACCCCGGCCCCGCCCCTCATCCCTCCCGCCGCAGAGCCTGGCACCGCCGCTTCTTCCCACGCTCCGACGCGCCGTCGATGCGGGCGCGCGCACGCGGGCGGGGCGCCGGGAGCAGCGCCGAGGCGTCGGTGTCGGGCACGCGCACGCCGACGGGGCGGTGCACGGCAGCGGCGGCGGCGGCCATTTTTCCTCCCGGCAGCCGCTCCGGGTGCAAGTGCGGGGTCTGCGGCCCTGCTGGCGCTCGGGCTCGGCCGGAGCGGCGGGGAGGCGTGGATGAGGGGGGAGGTGGCTGAGGGCTGCCCCCAGTGTCGCCGCCCCTCCCCCCCCAGAGCAGTCCGGGCGGGCAGCGCGCCGGAGGGCGCGGGCTCGGGGTCACTTCCTGGCGCGGCCTCGTCCTCGCCGCTCCCCTCACGCCGGGACCTCCCCCGGTCGCTGTCCCCGCCGGGGACCCTCCTCCGGGGCCCGCCCGCGCTCTCAGTGTCGGGCCCTCCCAGATGGGATAGGCTCTAAAGATGTTTAGTTTTGAAGGGGATTTCAAAACCAGGCCCAAGGTGTCCCTGGGAGGCGCGAGCCGGAAGGTAAGAGCGGCCTGCGTGCGGCAGTGCCGCGGGGCTGGGCGGGGTCAGCCGCGGACTCCGGGCGGGACGGCGGGCTGGGGGCCGGCTCGGGTCCGGGAGGGGTCCATCCCGGCGGAGGGACGCACGGG